AGAACTACCTATTCACTACGTTATAATTAGTTTATTGAATTTGACCATTGTCTTGCGATAAGGCTGATCCAACCAACAATTGGTTTTCCTTTTCTTTTTCGTTCTATTACCTCCAGAATGGACAAAATCAATAAACCAATCATAACGTAGTGAATAGGTAGTTTAGTGTTTGTGCAAACTAAAACGACTCGTCCCAATGAGCTGAGATTTTTAGCATAAGTTAGTTACGACAAGATACAATTTCTGTAAAAAGCACGTGAACTTCCCCAGATTCATCCTATCTTCCATTTTGTTTTATGGTCGACCGATAGACTAGTCTGTGTGTGCGCAAAATACGGAAAAGTGGCTGTCGGATATTCTGTGGATAAGCCAATCAGTAGAAATGATTTTACACAAAAGAGAAAATATTCAAAGAGAACACTGAAAAAATAATAACTGATGCAGAGAGAAAAAATAACTTATCAAACGTTTCTGTAGTTGGGTGATAGATATCGCTATTACTCAGTCCGTTTTGGATACTAAAACTTACTCAATATAGATAGTCTATTACGGTGTATCCATCAGAAATACTTGCAGTCCCCGTTCGGATCTTGAAACGGTGTCCAGAGAATTTTTTAGCTTTATATTATATTGTGCCCTTTTTCTGTGGAATCAGAGAAGTTCATAATATTTCTCAGTAATCCTGCGTTAACCTATGCTACGGCTGAGTTTAGCCCTAGCTTATCAACTTTTCTGATTGGTTCATACTATTTGAGAATGGAAGTAACGGCACTTTTTTATTCTGCTGCCTTGAGAATTTATTCCTTTGACTTTAGTCTAGGGTCATACAAAATAGTTGTCTGTGTGTGTGTGTCCAGAAAACGTTGTATATTATATTGTGCGCATCTTCCTTGGGATCACGGAAGTTTGCAACATGTCTCACCTTTCCTGGGTGCGAATGCCGACCGAAGGAAGGCGTGAGCATTAACTGCAATTCAGGAATATTTTTATTGTTCGTCAGTTTCTGCTTTAAATTCATCAGTATTTGTTTGCAACTAAAACAGCTACGGAAACGACTACATTATATTGCCCTTTATAGATGAGCCATCTGAAGTACCTCAAAAAAACAAGCTTGTCCTTGACAGAATTTCTCCACGTAGCTATTCCTCACTCTTAACGTGCGATTCTACTCAAAAGAATATTGCGTTAGACATATTTTCAAATCTGTTTTGTGCGCTCTTACATAGCTAAAAAAAACAAATATCATACGATTGTCAGTTTCGGTCTGCTCAGAGCTTTACCAATAATAACAAGAAACGTTTCAATTGCTTTAAGTGTCTGCATTGTCTACGAGACTTTCTTCTTCTATGGTAAAACTGTTCATAAGCAATAGGGTGTAACAGGAGAAATGGTCTAGACTAATTCTGAGATGGCATGTCTAAATCTTTTGAAACTTGATACTTAAGGGTTCCAAGCCATGTTCTTTCTTTTGTGTAGCGAACGCTTTAGTCCAAAACGCGCACAAGTAGGGTTTTCAGAAAACCGTGGTTGTTGACCTATACATGATGAAAATAAAATGCATTAAAAAGTGTGTGAAAATGGAACAGATGTAAGGTCACCATTGCATTCTGGACAGAATTTCCCTCATTCTGAAAAGAACTTTGAGTCTCTAACACAAAATTTAAATTTTGAAATTAAATTTGAATTGTTAAATCGAGTTTTTAAATCAAGCATGGAAAGATTCTACTATCCATCGGCATTTAGTTACCATACGAGATTCGTTGGCGGTTGCGACTTATGACAGTAGACATAAGTACCATTCCAAATAACTGACAGATGATCGCCTTAAAAGACTTTCGAATAGACCGTTTGATCACTCAAGGCATCGGCTCGAGTTAAATGACTAAGTGAATGAAACGAAACAACTTTGTCATTGATCCGGGCAAAACGCCATTCGATACATGCGTTAATCGTGTTATATTGCAAGAATTAATTGCTTTTTTAAAGCCATTTGAAAAAGTTATTGTAGACATTCAGCATAATGACGCTACTCTTCACAAAGTTGTACCATCCACCTGGTATTTGAAAGATCATTGTTCAAGCTTAGTCATTAATTCACATTGTGCTATCAAATATTTCAGACAAAAATGTTTAACAATTATGAATAATAAACTCGATTTAACAGACATTCATTATGCTACTGCAATATTAGAACCAACTATTACACAATTAAAAGGTTGTACAGCAGGTGAACAGGCAAGAGGACAAAAATTTTTGAAACGAAGACTGGACAAGATGACAAATCAACAATTAGCTCCCCCAATAGTATCTGCTGTTGGTGATGAACAAAATTCTGATGATGAGTACTATTTGAATCGATATTCTGATCAACAAGGTTATGAGTAATATGTTAATTAGTTATCATTTGTGACTGCAAGGCAAAACCGATAGTGTTAATAATTCTTATATTGGGCAAGAAAATTTTGGCCAATTTGCAGACAGGCAATGAGAGCGGATCTATTTAAAAATTGGTCGACCAACTTTAAAAAAATATATATATATATATATACCAGTAATTATGTATTTTAGACTTCTTGTGTAGTGAATTGTGATGACGAAAGGTGCTTCGGGTCCGAACGAATATATTAAGTGGATCCTAAATGTTAGGATCCCGTAAGATCGTAGTAGGAAATAGACAGGAATGTGCACGATTTTGTCTAGGATAGTGGCTCTTGAAGTAGTATGTACAAAACTAATAGTTTTTGCTGCCCTAAATACTGATCTCAACTTAGTAATTTTTAAATAAAGACGACAGCACACCTGTAATCATCAATAATGGTAAATAATGTTTTTTATGTTGTTCTCGTCCACTTCCCATATTTTGAAATGTTTTAAAACAATCAGTATTTGGAAAATTCCAACTAAAAGTCTCGAAGCAAAAGAAGAGAATATTCGAGAATAAATTAATATGTTTGTGAAATATGTCGATGAGAACGAAACTGGCAAAAAAAAGTGAAAAGAAAACAAAAAGTAAATAGAAGGTGCATGACTAATAAAAATAGGATTCCCCTAAAAATTATAAAAGTATATATAGAAACAGACAGAAACATAAACTGATGGTGATATATAGCATAATAAGAAATATATCTCTTAGTTACGAACCATCATTCACTTGCAGCACTTATGAATAACGGCAGTAAGTTAGTTATTGTTCTCCTAAATTATCTCACCGTAAATGTTTTTTCTGTAGCAACTGTGAATTCATTCTTTTGTTCTGATGGATTGACGAATCCATCATTCTATCCTTATATCAACATGCCAGAACCAGAAGATGATCAAGATTACTTTGGAGACTTGCGCACACCTACTTCGGAAAATGAGTTTGAACGTGACCAATTTCCATCAAGTGATCATGGGAGTTCACTTTACGAGCAAGAACCTCATACTATTCCTGCTGAATATAGACAAGGTAGTTAAATTGTAAGATAATGCTGATAAATTATCACGATATTATATTTATCTTGAAGACAATTCTACAATTCTTGATGCATCAATTCCCAGAACAGCACATTCGACTCCAGCAGCCGTGACCACATCAGATGCAAATTCTTATCCTTGGAATGCACGAAGTAAGCTAGTTTGCTATAATATATATTTTATAATATAATATTTCGCTCTTTCGTTTCTATTGCAACTTGTTTAGTTACCTGAAGTACAAAGACTTTTCTAGTTTTCCATCAACATGTGATGTTCTAAAAGAATTTTAGCGCAGTGTGCATTCTTTCAATTATCCACGCGTATCAAGTACCTACGTGTGCACGGTTGTGGAATAAAAAACCCAAAAAAGTTTTGAGGAAAATATTCTAAAACGGAAATGGTGTCTTCCGAAACCGAAGGAGTATTGTGAGAAAGTCTTTTGGAACCTAAAATTTTCGGTGAAAACGGGAAGGGTATCTGAATAATCTTTTTCAGTTTCCAATAATACCTTGTTTAATATCTGGAA